TCTTTGTGAATACTTTAAACTTACTATTAATATTTTTATTTATTAAAAGTTGGATATCCATGATTAAAAATAAAAACCATTAAGAAGTTTGAAAATGTGCTATGAATAACATTTAACTTATAAAATACCTAGGAATTCCAACTTCTTGTTAATGGATAAAATATTAAAGGCTTTTTTTTCTTTTTGAGATGGAGTCTTGCTGTGTCACCAGGCTGGAGTGCAGTGGCACAATCTTGGCTCACTAAAACCTCTAATTCTCTGGTTCAAGCAATTGCCCTGCCTCAGCCTCCTGAGTAGCTGGGATAACAGGCACGCACCACTATGCCCAGCTAATTTTTGCATTTTTAGTAGAGATGAGGTTTCACCATGTTGGCCAGGATGGTCTCGATTTCCTGACCTCATGATCCACCCACCTCAGCTTCCCAAAGTGCTGGGATTACAGGCATGAGTCACCGCACCCAGCCAATATTAAATACTTTTAACAGCACATATTAGTTTTGCCTGTTTGTGTACATAGTATAAATAGAATCACACTCTATATACACTTATGTATTTGGCTTTTGCTCAGCATTGTGTCTGTGACCTCATCCATGTTGTTGAGTGTAATATAATTGTCATTGCTGTATACTATTTCATTGTGTGACTATGCTACAGCTTTTTAATCCATTCTGATGGACATTAAGATAGTTTCCAGTGAGGTTATTACAATTAGCTCTGCTATGGACATTCTTTATATGCCTTTTGGTATACATAAACAATGATGCCTGTTTGGAATTATACTTAGGACTAGAGATGCAAAGTTATATGACATGCAGACGTACAACACTATTAAATGGCACCAAACAATTTTCCAAAACCTTGGTACAAATTTACATTCTTATCGGTAGTGCATAAGAGTACAGATTTGCTCAACATCCTCACCAAGAAGTAGCATTTTCTGTCTTTCATGTTAGTCATTCTAATGGGTGTATATTGGTAGCCCCTGGATTTTATTTTGCATTTCCCTGCTAACTAATACAATCAGTGTGTGTGTGTGTGTGTGTATGTGCGCATGTGTGTCTGTGTCTCTGTGTGTGTGCATGTGAGTGTGTGTGTGTTTGGAGCTTGGGAAACTGCTTTAAAATGTGTCCATTAAAGACTTTGGCCTTTTCTCTATCGAGGATTCAGATACTTTTTATACATATTTGTATGTCTTTTGCTTTTGTGTCCTTTACTGTTCATATGCAATGCAAATACATTCTCCCTCTCTGTGGCTTCTACTCACTCTCTTAATAGTCTTCTAACAAAGGTGATTTCTTAATTTTTAATATCTTTCAAGTCATTCTATTTTACCTTTATGATTGATGTTCATCTATGTCCTGTTTAAGCAATCTCTACTTTTTCCAAGATTATGGAGGTATTCTGTTATGCTTTCTTCTATTAATAAAAACTGTACTGTTTTACCTTTCACTCTTTCACTTTTAGATCTGCAAACCATCTGGAATTTATTTTTTTAATTATGTGACGTAAGAGTCAATATGAATCTCTCTTTCTTCTATTCTGTTACATGAGTATATTTGTCTACTTTGCAACAATAATACCTTTTCTAAATTACTGTAACTTCAAAATAGGTCTAGATATCTGATATCAAGTTAGATTTTAATGTAAATTTCCCAGCTTCATTATTCTTTAAAGTCACCTTAACTACTCTTGCTACTTTAAATATTTCCACATAAACTTTAGAATCAGCACTTTTTTCATTTTGTTTATCCTGCTTCATGTTTATGTGATTTCTTGAATATTTGGGCTGATAATTTTCATCAGTTTTAAGGTGTTTGGCCTTTACTTAATTATTGCTGTTGCTTCTTTATCTGCCTGTTTATCCTCTGCAAATTACACATTGCAATTTATTTATTTAACTTTTAAGTTCAGGGTACATATGCAGGATATGCCTGTTTGTTACATAGGTAAATGTGTGTCATGGCGGTTTGTTGTACAGATTATTTCATCACCCAGGTATTAAGACAAGTACTCATTAGTTATTTTTCCTGATCCTCTTTCTTCTCGTACCCTCCAACAACCCCAGTGTGTGTTGTTCCCCTTTGTGTGTCCATGTGTTCTCATCATTTAGCTCCTACTTGTAAGTGAGAATATGCGATATTTGATTTTCTGTTCTTGTGTTAGTTTGCTAAGCATAATAGCCTCCAGCTCCAAGCATGTCTCTGCAAAGGACAAGATATTCTTTTTTGATGGCTTCAGAGTATTCCGTGCTATATATGTACTATATTTTCTTTATCCAGTCTATAATTGATGGGCATTTAGGTTGATTCCATGTCTTTGCTATTGTGAGTAGTGCTATGATGAACATATGTGTGTATGTGTCTTTATAATAGGATAGCTTATATTCCCTTACTATGTGACCCACGTACTTTTTACTTGTTTCTATATTTAGCTCTCTATGCTTCAGTTTGTTTTTTCCTATTTTCCTATTTCCTATTTACCAATTTTTCAGTCATCTGATCCTGTCTTCTTCTTGTCAGATCTATCCATTGAATTCTGAATTTTAGATATTGTACTTTCCTGTAATTCTAATTCATTCTTCTTTATATATTCTAATTTTCTGTTAAAATTATATATATTTGATCTGTTTTAGTAATAATTTCCTCTTTTTTCTTTACTATATTAGCCATAGCTTTCTAAAGGTTTTGTCTACAAATTCTGACATCTAAATCACCTGTATGTCTCTTTATATATTTTGGTTTTGGGCTTTGGTTTTAAACCTTGGTTTTAGGTCTCATGGTCCTGCCTATTCATATGACTAAGGATTTTCCATTGAATTCCATGCATTGTGTATAAAACTGTAGTATTTTCAGACAGAAGTCTCTTTTCCACCAAAGAGGATTCATTATTTACTTTGCTATACAGTTAGTATGGGAGAATTATCACCTTAATCTCATAGAGACTTGTGCTGGGTTATAGTCTTGGCTAAATCTAATCTGCCTCTGCTATTCCCTTGTTACTAGGATTTAGGTCCATAGGATTTTAAACTGGTAGTCTGACATGCCTTCTTCTTTTTCACCATTGGAAGACTGCAGAAAAGGAAGATCTGCTTTTCAATGTTTTTCATATTAGCTTTTGTCCTCATGCTCTGTGCAAATTCAGAATTCAACAATTGTATTGACAGGAATATCAGCCATGAATTTGAGACGTTTTAGATATTTTCTTTATGTCACCCTAGTCATGTGTGATCATGAAATCATTGCTATTTCTTCTCATTCACCAGTATGAACACTATGCCCAGGGCCAAACTTGAATTCAAGCTGCAATCCAAGGCCAGAATTGGCAAATGCCCCCAGAGATGAAAAGCTGTAGGTCACAAGTTCATCTATGAGAGGTTCTCCCCATTCTCCAGAGTTTTAGATTCTACAATCTTTACTGAGCTTTATTGCTTCTACAGTTCTAGGTTGTCTAGTTGTTAATGAGGAGAACACTGTTCACCAATCAACAACTCTTGTCTTACCAGAAATACTGTAGTAACTGCCTACCTGGGCTCCGCGATTTGATCCTTCTTCTACTTATATCACTTAAAAAATTCCTAGTAATTATTTTAAAACATAGGTTAATGCTGCTATTTTATTTAAAGTATTCTAATTGTTCTTCGTTTTTCCTTAGACTATAATTCAAATCCCTTTAGTGGCCTATAAGACTTTAGATTATCTGGCCCTCACTTTGGTCCCATCCTCTTCTCCTGCTCATCCCTTTCTCACTCTAGCCAGCCACAGTGGCTGAACAAGTCACCTACTTTTCTGACATAAGGTATTTTTCCGGATTGTTCCTTCTACTCAGGGCAATAGATAGATAGATAGATAGATAGATAGATAGATAGATAGATATACACACATCAATAAACTCTCTACTTTCTTAATATTGCTGCTTGAGTGTTACTTTTTAAAAATTAGGGTGATGCTAATCATCCTATTTTCAATTTCAGTGGTAACACAAATCCTCCACCCAGGCATGGATGGAGGATTCTGCAGTACTTTTCCCCTAATTCTGCAGTACTTTTATGTTTTCCCATGTTGCTTCTCATATTACAACATGCCCTATGCTTTACCCATTAATCCATTATTTTATCTTTCACTATCACTCTTCTCTCTATAATATAAGCTCCACAAGGGCAAGGTTTTTGTTTTATTTATGGATGCATTCCAAGCTCCTAGAACAGAACCTGGCACACAGAAGACAGTTTGTAAAGATTTGAAAAATTAATGATTGAAAAAACATGTCGCATTTAATTATTTGGGTCTTTTCAAATGCACTTTCTATTTCAAAACATAGTTTAATTTAATTTTGATGTCATCAGCACAGATCTTGATATATTACTCTGATGACACTGCATATGAAAGTCACTCTGAAATTCTGAGGTTGAAAAACTCACTCAAATTGTATTCAATTTTGATTTTTTCTAATTTATTTGCAAATGGACTATATATTTACTACTTTCTCCGTAAAATTTACAGCTACTGGAAAAGATAATACTTTGAAAAGTGAACAAATCTTCTGAATCTCTTCCTGCATATCATATACTGTTGAGAATTGGACAACTGGACAGAAGTATATGAAGATGCAGATAGAATAAACATTTAAAAAATATAAACACATTCTGTTTGACAGAGCTTGTCTTTAGGTAGCTGTGACTGTATTATATATCAGTTCTGTCTTGCTCTGTCCTTTGGGCAATTTAGGAAACAGACATTAATGTTTCAATCTAATGACATAGAAATTAGTCTGAAATGGCAAAATGAAGTTTGCTTCTTAGAAAGAAAACTCTGTTAAAGGCTAAGTCTCCTCCTCCTGATTAGTTAGCACTACTCAACCCCACTCTCTGACCCACCCTCATGCCAGCCCGGATTAAAGGCCTCAGCTTTAGAAACGCCTAGTGAACAGAATAGAATATGTTAAGTTTCTTTTGGAAGATCTGGCAAAAGAAAGAGAGAGAAAGAGAAAAAAAAAATACATACAGCTTCCAAACTTCAGTGGGCAGGCATGCACATCCATGGGAAAATCTTCCAAATGCATGGGACACTCGGCATGAATTGTTAACCTAAAAGAAGGGCAAACAGAAAAAGAAATTCAGCTAAAATAAATGTTATTAAATACAGGGCTGTATTCCCACTCAGCAGCAATGAACTGTTCCTAAGGATAACACAAGTTTTGTTTGTCTAGGTTAACTGAGATTCAAGTCTTTATGAACACAAAGGATGGATAAAATGAGCTAGATAGCCCCTCAAAGAGACATTAAGTATTCATATTTTTGGTTCTTATCTGAATCCCATTGTATCACCTTTGAAAAACAAATATAAATTTTCTGCCCTAACTGTACTTTCTTAGCTACTCCCTAAGAAGCCTGGAAACACCAAGTTCTGACTCATTCACTACTGATTGCAGTTTAATTATTTCTGAAATATTTCTTCGCAGCAGGCTATTATGTGAGTTAACCAATTTAAACATTGCACTGAAGAGAAGAGATATGTAGAAAGAATATCTTTACTGTGATCATTAACAGACAGACACAAAAGATAATTCTGCTGCTCACAGGAAGTGCTATAGCTTTGTTGAAAGAGATGGCTCTTGAACACACACACACACACACACACACACACACACACACACACACACACAAGGAAACTGACCACTCCAGAAAAAAAAAAAAAGTGATGGGGGGCATTAGAAACCTCAGAGGTCAAGTCTAAAGAGCTTATATTCTGTTAACAGAGACATCTAGAAAAGATGCTGGATGGATTGCTCAGTGGAAATCTGAATGGGAGATGATATATTTACATACTCATTCCCCTGCATTAGTCTCTCTCAATAGTCTATTTCAATGCTTCCCCTTTGATTTCTTTTAATTTTTCAAGGCCTAATTTTCCTTGAGCTAGATAGTAGCCTCCTATATAGATATGGGGCTCACACTGCAAAAATTAAGAGTTGGTTGGAAGCTAGCCCTAATGAGCTACTTCTAACTAGCCTTTATACTTCCTGGATATATTGGACTCAACCCCTGCCATCCTTTTGGAGTTCTAATAAGTTTAGAAACTGATTATCAATTATAATGTCATTCATTTCCCCAGTGGCTTCTTCCCTTAGATAGGTACTCCTGCTCAGAACTTTTCAGGACCCAAGTACTCCTTAGGACCAGAAATCTTGCCAAATAAAATATCAATATATGAGACTGAAAAGAATATGCCTCACATCTATACAATTACCAAGGAAGCCTATGAGCAAGTGTTTTGTTGAGGCAACAAATAAAGAAGTGCCTGCAAGTGATCCCATGTGTAGGGTCTCCATTTCTCTCTCTTCACATTGCAGTGCTACTGCAACAGTGTTAGGAAGCAAAATCTTAAGAAGAAGATATCCCCAGGCTATTGCTGCTTAACACAGTTTCTATTTGGTTAATGAGTGTAAGATACCAGGAGATATTTCTTGTCAAATTACAGACATCTATGTGTCTAAGAAGGCATAGGAGGTTCAATGGATAATTGTTATCATGATGATGATTATTGCTAATAACCTATGAGATGCTCACAGCATGTTAACAACTTCTAAAGAACATTCCCATCAATAATTCCACTCAGGTCTGCCTCTAACATTTGTGATGCAGGGACCCTCGATTTCTGGAACTAAGGATTTTATTTATCTCATTTGCTCCCCATAGAGACCCTGTGAGGAACATATTGCAGGCATTATTATCATCTCTATTTCCTAAATAATAATTTATGGAGTTAAAGTGACTTTCTCAAGTCACACAACCTGGAGAGCTAGAGTGCAAATCTGGTATTCTTTCTACATCAAAAATTTTCCATTCATCTGAGGGTAACTGTCTCCTCAGGTCCTCAGTAATCTTTAAGTCATATGTATCTGGTTACCTTTGAGTAAGTATGTTCTGTATGTAAGGTAGTCATGAGAAGATACTAAGAAAATAAGGAAGAACCAGAAGCACAAGCCATAATCATTCCCCTCATAATGACCACTGTTATAGGATGAGAAATATAACCCTCACATATACAGTTAGCTATTGACATGAGGCAGGAATTGAGTACATTAGCCTGAATACAGTCAGAGTACTTTCTGTTGCAGAAAAAGCTTGAGGGGATATTGAAAATCCTAGCTATGAGAAGGTAGATAAGGAGGGCAAGAAAGTCAGACAGCATTGACATGTTCAAGAACCAATAAAAAGAGCACAACATAATTTGGTTTATGAAGTGCCTTGCCCACATAAATATCTGCTTTTTCTCTCTCCTTTGTGCTTAGGTGGGATGAGCAAGAAGTGGATGGGAAGAAGATAGGAAAGTTATTATAAATCCGTTTTGCCCCTAATCAGAAATCACTACCTTTGCATCTGCTTTGATAGTCTATTTGTTATGGTCTTATTCTCCATGTCCCTAGAACTTCTGGCTAGACATAAAGTAATTTCCCCTTGGCATTACTCATAAGAGGCAGTATCTTGGAAATAATAATATAAGTGTAGAGAAGGAACACAATTTTCTTTATTAAACTCTCATGGAATCTTTTCAGTATCCAACACAAGGAGCATGTTTTTCACTGAAATACATTTCTCTCGTGTCCAGTTCTTTGAATCATGAAACCCCTTTTATGTCTTAAGAATAAAAGTCAGATTGGTGGGGTATTGCAGGCTAGCTTCAGAATTCAGTTTTTGTTCAAGACACATTGGAAATTTTGTAAATATCCAAGGGATGAGTTAGACCTGCAGGAACACATGCCATCTAGTCGCAACCTCTTATTATTTAGATGGGGGATACTGAAAATAAGAAATGTGTTAAGTATTTGCTGAAGGAGCACATACTTTCTTTTTGCCTTCCAGGCTGGTGTTCTTGCTAATACATGCCTGGGTGCATTTCATTTATTTAGCTTGCTTTAAGCAATATCAATTATTGCAGCTCGGATCATTTGTGTGGTGGTAACATATCCATTGGTTTTAGCAATCAGCCATGACTGGAGGTCCTGGACAGACTACCTAGAAGCTGGCTGACTGAGATTAAACTGAGCTTGATTTTCCTGCTAATTCCTTCCAGAGCTGTATTTGTTAATCTCAGTTTCATTATTCATCCAATGGCTGGCAATGTCAAAGTTTTGCTTTCAAGTAGTTCATTTCTAATCTCTGTAAAATAATTTTCTTCCCTACCCTTGGAGGCTGGTCAGGTTATTGACAGAAAGTTTTGACATCCAGAATAATGAGTTTCTGCTACAAGACAGGGACTGACCCCAAAAGAGTCCTGATCTACATACAAAGTTCTAAACCTAAAGTTGAGGAGAAACTGTAACTATCTTCTGTCATAGATGCTAAAACACACTTATGATTTCACTAAATTAAAATATTTATACTTACCCTGTTCCAGGCCTATTCTTCTGCCTAATTTCACTGCAAAGATGTTGGGTTTATACATTCATCTAACAAATATTTACAGAGTACTTAAGTATTTTGGGCAAGATATGCGGACCCAGTCTTTGACGAGCTTACTGTCTAAGAGAAATAGCATGTATGTACACAAATAGTCTCAACACAATCTATCAAGTTCTATGATAGGTGCTGTGGGTACACAGAAAATGAAGGAATTGTTATGCCTGAGGCCATCCTAGAAGGCCTTATAGAACCAAGATTACCTAAGATGAAGCTAAGAGGATAAGTAGGGTGAGGCAATGAAAGGCATTCTAAAGAATATAATATATGCTAAAGCACAAAGGCAGAAACAAGTCTGGCCTATTTGGGTAACAGTGATCCAGAAGGGCTAGAAATAAGGGCATAAGGGCTGGAATTTAGGATACCTGGGAAGTGATAGGAGATGAGGCTGGAGCCAGATCAGCAGAGCTATAGGCATCACACTAAACAAGATCAACTTTCTAGGTCTTGGACTAACAACTGACAAAGTCATATTGCTCTTTCAAGAAGATCATTCCAGGGACTCAGACTGTCTTGTTACTACCATTTATCTTGCAAAATAACTCAGTGGGCATGGTTAGCAAATTGCCATTTAATTTATGGAATTATGGACAGGAGGGTGAATCCTACAGAGTTGACAGATCAGTGAGGTGGTTATTACTGAAGTGGAGTTAAAGAGAAGACAGTGATGATGAACATTTTTTCATATGTTTGTTGGCCTCCTGTATGTCTTCTTTTGTAAAGTATCTGTTCATATCCTTCACCCATTTTTGAATGGGCTTGTTTGTTTTTTTCTTGTAGATCTGTTTTAGTTCATTGTAGATTCTGGATATCAGCCCCTTGTCAGATGGGTAGACTGCAAAAATTTTTTCCCATTCTGTCGGTTGCCGATTCACTCTACTGACTGTTTCTTTTGCCGTGCAGAAGCTGTGGAGTTTGATTAGGTCCCATTTGTCTATTTTGGCTTTTGTTGCCATTGCTTTTGGCGTTTTGATCATGAAGTCCTTGCCTACGCCTATGTCCTGAATGGTTTTGCCTAGATTTTCTTCTAGGGTTTTTATGGTGTTAGGTCTGATGTTTAAGTCTTTAATCCATCTGGAGTTAATTCTGGTGTAAGGTGTCAGGAAGGGGTCCTGTTTCTGCTCATTATCACTGGTCATTAGAGAAATGCAAATCAAAACCACATTGAGATACCATCTCACACCAGTTAGAATGGTGATCATTAAAAAAATCTGGAAACAACAGATGCTGGAGAGGATGTGGAGAAATAGGAACACTTTTACACTGTTGGTGGGAATGTAAATTAATTCAACCATTGTGGAAGACAGTGTGGCGATTCCTCAAGGACCTAAAAATAGAAATCCCACTTGACCCAGCAATCCCATTACTGGGTATATATCCAAAGGATTATAAATCATTCTACTATAAGGACACATGCACACGAATGTTCATAGCAGCACTGTTTACAATAGCAAAGACCTGGAACCAACCCAAATGCCCAATGATGATAGACTGGATAGTGAAAATGTGGTACATATACACCATGGAATATTACGCAGCCATCAAAAATGATGAGTTCATGTCCTTTGTAGGGACATGGATGAACCTGGAAACCATCATTCTCAGCAAACTGACACAAGAGCAGA